GATACCATGTGTCTAATAAGACAGACATCCACGAGAGACTTTATACACAGTAAGTTTTGATAATAACATCGATCGTCATTAAATTTTGCTTAAAATGTCAAATATGCCCGATGTGATTGCAATGGTACATTGGTAATTCATGTTTTAATGGTAGGAAGCAGCTCGGGAGTTGGTGAAGCAATCGCCATACATCTAGCGTCTTTGGGATACCGTCTGACAGTCGCCGGCAGAAATGCGGAAAATCTGCTAAAAGTAGTGAACAAATGCAAAGAACAAGGCTTAGCAGATAAAGAGGTAAACATTTAATTCAGTGTCAAATGTAATGTAAGATACGGAGTAGCAAATGCACTTCTTGTACATTTAAACAATAGAGGAATTATCTAAGATGCTTCCCTGTATACGAATAATCCGTTACATTTGGGTGAATCCCCAAAGATTCCGTAAGGCAAAATATCGCCCATCATTCTTTATTTGTATGCAACTTTTTAAATGCAGGCAGGGACGTAGCCAGGAATTTGAAAGGGGGGAGCCGTTATGCGAATTACGTATGACCCGGCGGGGTCAAGGGGGGGGGGGGGGGCGAATCCCCCTGTGAAGTAGCGCACTCCGAACGTTCTTAGGACTGTTTGAGAGGATAAAGTGAAAATTGCAATAGACGCATTATAAATAAGCGCAAAAATAATAAATCAACAGTGGCAGATCCAGGAATTCGAAAGAGAGGTGAACCAGGGAGGGACTTTCACAGACCGAGGAACCACCCACCTCAGCGTCACGATGGTTGGGGCTGAGGTAAGAAAATTTATGATTAGGGCATATCTAGATGGCCGGAAAATTACACTCTCGCACTTCAATTTGAATATATTTTTCTTTTTTTTTTCCTTAAACAAATGAAAGGGGGGGGGGGGACCTTGAATCCACCTCTGCTCAAAACATTCTTTATCCAGAATAGTCATAATCTCAAAAATGTACATGAAAAGACCAGATCACATCCTAAAAACAAACAGCAGTCACTAAGACATACGTCAGGAGCAGACGACTCGATGGAGTTTAATGTCATACCCAGGGAAGGGCACATATCTGTTTTGAAAGGTGGAGGGGAGGGCATTTTGTGAGTCGACACCCACCTCAGCCCAACAATGGTTGGAGCTGAGGTGAGAAAATTTGAGGAAATAGTACCTCTAGATGGCCAGAAATGACACTTTCAGTAAAATTCATCATCATCACATCACCATTAGTCAAAATGAAGCGCCAAAAAAAATTTTATCATGGATTTTTGACAACCATAGAGATCTTATTAATGTGTGTGTGTATACCATAGAAAACAAAGCTTAAAAACATTGTCTTTGAGTATGTACTTTACATAGGCCTACTTCAAAAACGTGATTTCACAACCACCTCAGCCCCAGCCATGGTGGGGCTGAGGTGGGAAAATTTGAGGAAATAGAACATCTCAAGATGGCCGGAAATGACACTTTTATATAGTAAAATTCATCATCATCACATTACCATTATAGTCAAAATGAAACGCCAACAAATTTCTCATGATCTTTTATCAGGAATCTACTTAATATCCAGGACAACTTATATTAGACCTAACTCTAAGCTTACTAACCTTTAACTATATATACTATAGTATGATCAACAAATCACAACTTTTTTTTTCGCATTTAGCACAATTTTCTTCACTTTTTATTGCTATTAATATTATTATCAATTATTACTATCGTCATTATCATCATTGTTATTATTATTATTATTATTACTATTAGTAGTAGTATTATTAAACAAACACGATCTTTTATCAGGGAATTTTGACAACCATTGATAGAGATATTATTCTTATTAATGTGTGTGTGATATACCATAGAAAAAAAGCTTAAAAACATTGTCTTTGAGTATGTACTTTACATAGGGCTACTTCAAGAACGTGATTTCACAAGCACCTCAGCACCACCATGGCTGTGGCTGAGGTGAGAAAATTTGAGGAAATAGTACCTTTCGAGATTTCCGGAAATGACACTTTTATATAGTAAAATTCATCATCATCACATTACCATTATAGTCAAAATGAAACGCCAACAAATTTCTCATGATCTTTTATCAGGAATCTACTTAATATCCTTAACTTAGGCCTAATTATAGCTTACTAAGCTTTAACTATATATACTATATTATGATCAACAAATCACAACTTTTTAACGCATTTAGCACAATTTTCTTCACTTTTTATTGTTATTAATATTAATATGAATTATTACTATCGTCACCATCATCATTGTTATTATTATTATTACTATTAGTAGTAGTATTATTAGACAAACATTTAAAGAAACTTGCAAAAGGATAAAAACGAAATTGAACCACAGTATCGCATTTCTATCTTAAAAGACCTGGCCTGAGATTTATGAATTTAAGATTTTTTAAAATCACGCTTAGGCCTATGTGTTCCATTAGGCCTATATATAACGTGTACTGATGCATATTGACATGTTTAGAAGTATTCACTTTGAGTGATCCCAGGAAAGAACTTGTATTGGCTCAAGAATAAGCTTTAAAATTTTAACACTGTGTACAAAGGGCTGTCTCTTATACACATCTAGATGTGTATAAGAGACAGCAATCACTCTGTTAACATTTTTGTAATCTAGGCCTATATTATTATACGATGATTTTCGTCATTATTTCATTTATATCTTAACAAAGAAAATAAACAATCACTAAAGTCACAATTTTCAACAAAGTGAAAATTAATATGAAAAAGACCTTTCCAACCTAAAAATTAATATGTTAATAGTATTGTTATCCATAATTATTTCCAATTACATGTTAGACAAATGTATCTTTAGAAATATTTACAAGACACCCCGAACACAAAACTCCTTTTCAGAGGTGTGTGTGTTAGTATTATGTAACCATATTACATACTGTGATTTACTTATATTTACCTACATCAGTGAGTTTATATAGGCAACAATGAAAAGTTGTTGCAGGAACTCCCTTCAACTTCGCAGTTACACATCTCAGTACAGTGAAGATTATTTCTCCTACTCATGCATGTATTACTTGAACATGTACATATTGAACAGGTACATCTGATAAGTTCAGCAACTAGGGGCAGCCTGCTTTTCTGACAAGGCAGGTCTCAATTTACCATCTTCCACAAACCAGCCCTGTTTGCATGGATCAGGGATTTCTGGATGAATAACAGTATCCTGTCTCCATATATTGGCCTGCAGATGTACACGCAATATATGCTGATATAAGGCTCCTGCAGTTGGTGGCAGGTTATCTACATCTTGATTGTTTGGCAGAGTTTTGAATCTATAAGGTTCCTGCAGTTGGTGGCAGCTTATCTACACCTTGATTGTTTGGCAGACTACACAAAAACTCCTTGCGTCCCATTCTCACATTTAATGATGGCATATTCCTTTGCCCAAGCTTGGCCAAAGCATGTTAACATGAAGGGGTGATTTCATAAACATCTTAAGGGCTGTTTTTTCCAACATCATTTAGGCCCTATATGCCCTGTAATAATTTTTATCGGTGATAGCATGGACGCCTGGTAGTGTCATTGCTCTTTCAGGTCCAAGATGATCGTATATTGGCTGAAGAGCCACTTTTCTTCTGGTTTCAGTGGTACCTGTCACAATTCACACGGCAAGATGTCAAAACAAACACTCCAGAGCATCCTCCAACAACAGCAGCTGTAAGCACACAAGAAGAAGCTGGTACTCTAATGATTCCCCATGGCATAGAAGTGGCCTCTGAATCTGGGAATGATACAGACTGGTTTGTATTGATCTTCAGAAGACTTCCACAACTTGGCATGAATACTGGAATTTGTGCAGTCTTCTCGGAACGAAGAAAGGATCTGCTAAAGATGCCATGTTCTACATCACATTTTAATTTTAAAAATGTTAACTTTCAAGCTTGTAATACCAGTTTTTAATAATGCAGGTAATACAGTGATCAGTAGGTTTTCACGCAATGACTAATTAAGTAAATTCAAATATGTTTTCTCCTATTTCAATTTGAAAATAGGAAATGTTGGTGGCAGGTGGACCAAGGGAAAGCGTCAGTACCGACATTTTAACGGACACATTTCTCTTTACGCTGCTTTACATTCATGAGTGTTGTTTCAATTGTTTTTTTTTTCTTTTGCAGGTGATGGATCTTGCAAAAAAGGTGCACGTACTTCAAAAACGACCAATTAAATTTGACGAAGTTACAGCAGCAGTTGCATTTCTAGCCTCCGAACATGCAGCTATGATTACTGGTTGCATTTTGCCGATAGATGGCGGTTACCATCTGGTAAACTAGTTGTCTTGTGATAGGATTACTCAAATTAACACAATCTAATCAAAGACAACAAAAGGCCTAGAATATTTGACATGTATCCAAATTCAACATAAAGTAGTACTACTGTAGTTGGCTACCAGTCAATAAGAGAATCAACGTCAAAATAATGCTTCTTCCTTTCACAGATAGGAATTTTGAGTCTTTGTGGTGCCATTTTGACATGGCTTTTAAAAATAATTTTATGTTGTGTGAAGCACATAGAAGATTTTAGCATATTATAATACACTATATAAGAGATCAATTTAATACAGTATTACTGTTAATTTTAAATCAACTGAAATTAAGCTGTTGGTTGATTTGGTGTGTAGGTATGTTTACAGTAAAATATATCTGATAATAATAAATAAATAAATAATAATAATAATAATAATATCTAATAATAAATTACAAAGTACTATAGATATTAAATTGATAGGTGTGTAGCTTTAATTTACAAATCAGGATAACATTTTTTTTTTTAGCACAGGCCTAATTAATACCATTTCTTTCCTTTTTTAAATTGTTTGTATGTCGATCAAGCGAAAACCTAATTACTGTACTCTAATTTCTTCGGTTCTTACTTTCAATAGTGATGCACTCAACTATGATTGGATAGTGATATAATTTTTAAACCTTTTTTTGTGAACGTAATGCATGTCACTAATACATTTGTAGTTATAATCACCATTTCATCATGGATTTGATAGTGTAGCTACTTTGGATTAGGAGTTAATTCTCATCATTATCTGTTGATTTGACCGTATGTCTCCATGGTTCATCGCACACACAGTGGCTACCACATTTGTGTACTCATTAAAACCATGGAGGTATTATAGTGAACTATAATACCTCCATGTTAAAACACTCTCATCTCATGATTACCGGATCTAACATTTTCATCTGATGACAATATCTACTGTAATAACACTTTGATATGATTATTTGATCTAAAATTCTAATCTCATATTTGATCAAACATTATGATGTCATGAATTCAACAACATCATCATCATCATCACCACCACCATCATCATCATCATCACCACCATCATCATCATCATTGTGTTCGTCCATCAACATTATCGTCATTGTCATTATGTTCATTATTATTATTATTACTTTCATTATTATTATTATTATTATTGACTTGCATACAGAGCCGCTTTGATATAGCCTAGCCCTAGTAAAGTTTTCTTTTTTACAATTACACGTCGCTTGATTTAGAATATTTGCCGAAATAAATTCATGTATGTTTAGTAAATATTAAATTTAAAGAAAAATGTTTTTACATCATTCTTACTAAATGCGTATTGAGTAGTAAAATTTTACAACTGAGTAACATAGTATATATCAGTTTCAAGGTATATTCACTGTGTTACAGAGTGTGATGAAGGGTAGTTTTTTTGTGATGCAGATTGATGAGTCGTGATCAGCTCCATCATTCAGGCTTAGCAGGTGCTTAACCTAAATATATATGTGCTCCCGCGTTTCCATAATGGTTCATCTAATTTATTCATTGTTGATTCTATTGTAAGATTCTCCATACCCAAATCCATCAAAGGTTATATAGAGTTCAGTCAACATTTCCATGTGATCAATATGCTAGATTGTGTCTATGGATTAATTTGAATCCTGCGGCCTATAATGATAACCATCATTAATAAAATCGTCATAGATACCAGTACCGCCCACATCGAGAGATGTCACATACTGCAGCCATGATAATTGCTTTGATTTTTATCTTTCGAAAATGATGAATTTTGCATTAGAAAAAAAGAAAAACGATGTGCCCGTCTGTGATTCTGTTCTGCAAATAAACGCGTACCGTACTCGCGCGAATAAGCGCCCCGTTTGAATAACCGCCCCTCCTAACATGAAAATTTCCTTAAGCGCTCTGTTTGAATAATTTCCCCCTTCTAATTTGAATAAGTGCCCCCTCATAAGATTTTCTTTTTAGCAAGTCAATAATCCAATCAATCCTGGGCATGATTTAAGCGTAGAGTGGAAACACATTCTTCTTCAGTCAATATCAAAATAAAGATATTTCTCTTGGACAGATGAGAGCTCCGACACTGGACAGATGAGAGCTCTGATGCCTGATGAGCAATAATAATATAATAATAGTGTAGTTTTATATAGCGCACATATCCATCTAATGTAAGATGCTCAGAGCGCTTGATATGTGGACTAGGAACTCGATCAATGACTTTCTTCGCCCCTAAGGGTCCCTTCGTGTCTGTGCTACCCGGTACCAGCAACTCTCGTCGTCCACCACATGGGCTGTCTGTTCCAGTACACCGGGGGGTATCCCCCTACTCGTCTCGAAATGTACTGGGTTCTTTATAGTGCACACGAGCCATTGTATACACTGGGCCTACGGTTTATAGTCCTTATCCGAGAAGACTTGTTACCACCAGAACCAAAGGCGAGTGTGCCGTTCGAACCAGCGCCGATATTATGGAGCTTGCGGCGCCCCTGCTAACCGCACCATTCGACTCACCAGTATATTTCCAACTTTAATCTTTTTACATATTTGTCTATGTCTAGTCCTACTCCTCTTTCTTTTTTTCGACCTTAAGCACATTCTCATCTGAGTTTTCAAGAATACAATGATCCTGCCATCCTGCTAATCTCAATCGCCCGATGGCCACAAGCTATAGACCACTACCCACCACTAATTGCATCTGCTATTTTGCTGTTATGTAAATATTCATGCATTCTTGTTATGAGCCATGTTCTCTGGACGATTATCTTCTCTAACTACCATTCGTAATGTCCTTATATAATCTTTTTTTCATTCAAAAAGTGCCTCTTGAATTTTTAATTATTAAAATAATTTCCCATAAGAACCCCTCGATTTTCATCTATTTCCATAAGCGCCCCCTCAATTTCCACTCTGTTTTCATAAGCGCCCCGTTTAAATAAGCGTCCCGTTTGAATAAGCGCCCCTCAGAAAGTGCAAAAAATAAGCGCCCGAGCGCTTATTCGCGCAAATACGGTACAAGAGGCAAAGCTGTGCAATGAGTTAACCACTTAACGGTTACTTTGATACGTTTTATTTATTTCGTTTGTGTTCAACGCCCTCTATAGGAAGTGGGTGATTGACCGAGAGGCACGATGCCGATCTGAGTGGTTCAGAAATAGCGCGGTCAGTATAATACAAATATGGGCATAAACATGTTATAACCAGGGAGTTTAAATAACAACTCCCTGTTATAACCGTTATAACTATACAGTATCTATTTTGGATTAGAAGGAAACCTCTGTACGTGCTTATTAAGAACGTACTAATAGAAAGTAATATACAATATACACAGAAACCGTAGGCCCTACATTATAATCTTTTACCTCTTCAATCACCAATTCACTGATGATGGATAACACCTCCGGAAAGTGCGGATTCGGACTTGCTCGGCTTATGATGATTAGTACCGTATACGAATAATGAATATTTAAACCGTTGATTATGGTTTCAAAATTTGAACCGTTGGAATACGAATAAGCTAAACTAAGACAAGTACTCATTTGTTTTACCGTAAATCCTTCTTTACAAGATTTTTAACTGGCCGTTTAATTCGCTCTAATGGCACACCATAGACATGCGTACAGTGTACCGCTATTTAAACGTCCAGTCGCCTAGCATTATGCTGCGTGCTAGATTTGAACCTTTCATCAAAACAAGAAATCGAGCCTGAAAAATCTATTAAGAAAGAATAATTGACAGTCCGCCAAGTCAAAAGGGTCCGCAGAAGGTCCGTGTTATCAATTTTTTGTGGCTACTGAAAGTAGCTACTATGCCATCGAATTGTTTTTGTGGCTACTGAAAGTAGCTACTATGTCATCGAATGGTTTTTGTGGCTACTGAAAGTAGCTACTATGCCGTCGAATGGTTTTTGTGGCTACTGAAAGTAGCTACTATGCCATCACAGAGGACAGAGTTCTGTCTCTTATACACATCTCTTCTTAGGATCCGCCACTGTTTAGTGCGTACTTATGTGGCGAATCATATCTTCTATCCATAATCTTATTGGTGGAATATCAACCATGAATAGCTCTAAATTTTACAAAATTTAAAATGAATGGGGATAAAGGAAAACTAATTTCATTTTTTTCTAACAGTGCCATTTCCGGCCATCAGAAGTGCTATAGACATAACAAATTTCGTGCCTAACCCCAACCGTTCCACGATCCGCCACTGTTTCATGTTTGCGTGGCGAATCATCTTCTATCCATAATCTTATCTTTGGGATATGGACAATCACTAATACTGAGGTATAGGGGTCCGTGAAGACTTTTGACGTGTCCCGAGGGGTCCGCGAATGCAGGAAAGTTATAAAATAAAAATAAAATAAAATAAATAACATTTAAAACAGAATAAATATATATATATATAATATATATACATATATACATTCATATTTTATATACATACATATATACATATATATATATATATATACATATATACACATATATGTATATATATACATATATGTATATATACATATATGTATATATATACATATATATAATATAGGAACATAACATATTTAAAACATTAGAATATATATACATATTTATATATCTTAAATTAATTTCGATTATGAAACGGACAGAAAATTGTAAACCAATAATACTGCAAGGGTGCCTTTAAGGTATGTTAAGCTTCATTAAAATATCTATAGTCATTTTTATATTTCACTAATTTTTCACCATGAATAATTAATTTTGCATTTTATACTTTATCATTTCAGGTTAATGAACTGAAAAATATGGCAAAATTTAAAAAAAGACATGGGAAGCCACATTCATATTGTATCTCCAGTTAAAAACAAACACAAATCAGTGCTTCAAATTACATTTACAAACCACTGCAGACAATTTTCAAGAAACTGTTTTTTCTGTTTCATATCACACTGAATTCCAGAACTATTGAAAACCAAAGTCCAGTAAAGATGAGGGATTTTGGGACCAATATTCTT